TGTTTATAACTCTGAAATGATCATTCAGCCCCCGGTGTTTCTCACTACTAATGAGGAGCTGACATCCCAGTTCAACTCTGTCTGCTTAAAGACTCTGGATCATTTTGCGCCTGTTAAAATAAAAAAATAAAAACTCAGAGCAGAACCTTGGCTGAGTGACGTCACCAAGGCCGTTAGGCAGCAATGTAGGAGGGTGGAGAGCAAGTGGAGGAAAGACAGGCTGCAGGTCTCTTTTCAAATACTTAAAGAGAGTTGGCGCTGTTATCAGAAAGCAGTGAAAGCTGCTAAATCCAAATACTTTTCTGATATAATTACCTCAATCTCTCACAACCCACGTGTCCTCTTCTCCACCCTAAACTCTGTTCTCCATCTCAATGAACCATCACCTCTGGAAGCCTCGACTGAGCTGTGCGAGAACTTCTTACATTTCTTTTTGGAATAAATTGCGACCACCCGGGCTCTAATTTTCCCTCCAACTCATGACCCATCCATCCCACCTCAATCTGTAGCTCTATTTGACCATTTTGAACCCATCACTCTATCTTCTATAGAGCAGGTCATGTGCAGCTTGAAACCTTCTGGTTCCCCCTTTGATGTGGTCCCCCCTCGACTACTAAAGGAGGTTTGTCCTACTCTAGGTCCGTCCATTCTTGATATAGTAAACAGTAGTTTATCCACTGGCATGGTGCCAAAATCCTTTAAACATGCTGCTGTCCAGCCTCTCCTGAAAAAACCAAACATTGACCCCTCAGTCGTATCCAACTTCTGGCCTGTCTCCAAACTCCCATTTGTTTCTAAACTACTGAAGAAAATAGTCGAGTCCCAGTTGAAGTGCTTCCTGGAGGATCACGCCATCTTAGAGCCATTCCAATCTGGCTTTAAACCTCTCCATAGCACTGAAACTGCCCTGCTGAAAGTCTTTAATGACATTTTCTTAACCACTGATACCGGTGATTCTGTGCTGCTTGTCCTATTGGACCCCACAGCCGCCTTTGACACCATCGACCATGAGATCCTCATTGCTAGGTTGGAACAGTGGGTGGGCGTCACAGGGTCAGCAATCAATTGGTTCAGATCCTACCTCACTGACAGATCCTTTTGTGTCTCCATCAAGGATTTTAGTTCTGCAGCGGCAGAGCTTAAATGGGGGGTTCCGCAGGGGTCAATCCTGGGTCCCCTCCTATTCTCTTTATACCTGCTGCCGCTTGGTGTTATTTTCCGGAAACACAACATGCCCTTCCACTTCTTCGCTGATGACTGTCAAATTTACTTCCCCCTAAGACACAAATGGCACATGCTCTATTCAACCTCTGCTCAACTGCCTGGCTGACATTAGGGACTGGATAGCTTTAAACTTCTTAAGTTTCAATGAAAAGAAGTCTGAAGTCATGTTGTTCCCTCCCAAGGACACGATCACAAACCACTGCATCGACCTCTCTGCTCTAACCTCGTCAGAAAAACAAAGAGTTACTAATCTGGGAGTGATAATGGACCCTTTCCTGAAACTTAACAATCATGTAAACATGATTGTTAAATAATGTTTCTTCCAACTGAGGCGGCTGTCTAAACTGAAGCCCATATTGTCCAAAAATAACCTGGAGACAGTAATTCATGCATTCATTACATCTAGGCTTGATTACTGCAATTCACTCCTGTTTGGTATCAGTCAGACCTCCACTGCACGACTACAACTGGTCCAGAATGCAGCAGCCCGATTTTTAACCAGTACAGGCAAAAGAGAGCACATTACACCAGTTTTGGCCTCACTGCACTGGTTACCGGTTCACTCTCGAATCCAGTTCAAAATACTCATGTATGTCTACAAATCACTGAACAGTTTCCCCCCCCCCCCCCCCCATCTCTCTGATCTGCTACAACATGTTTTGCTTACCCGAGTGAGGTAGACACAGGACACGTGCCACACCCTCACTGCAGCCCTTTTCCTCCAAGGGGTCTGAAACTAATCCTGAGGCTCAGGTATTACCTGTAGCTGTTTTTCAGGACAGCTTAGTCTAAGGCTGTGTTGAGATGATTCATCCAGACTGTTAACTACCTTCTATCTGTGTACCACACCCAGAATCTCACCTCGTGTCTCGCCCGACCTAGCAGCAGGAGTGGGGACGTTGGACAGACGAGGAAGTGCACGTTCACGGTAGCTCATCTCCTAATTTAGCATTGCAATTGTTATCTGATCTGGCTTCGTTTAGAATATAGGTATAAGATTCTTGGATGCTGTTTTATAATCAAAGCTACAAAACCTTTAAAAAACTCCTGAACTTTTTGTTTTTAACATTGAACCAAGTTTTCCATTTCCATGAGCAAAGGGGTCTTGAAATAAGAATCCAGAATTTTACATTTGGCTTTGCTTTAATCGAGGATTTGCAGGGGTAACAGCGGTAGGCACAATGCAACACAGTGATTACATTTGATTACAGAGGTGATACATGGGGATTAATAAGTAGCTCAGAGATTTAGTTGGACTCCAGGGGTTGAGCAATCAGCTTGGCAGAGTGGCTCTCAGATCCAAAAGAGAGCTGGGGAGGCTTGACCACGCCCTAGGAACCCCTAGGGTCGTTCTGACACACTTAAACACTACAAAACCTCCACAGTCTCCCCACACTCACAACCTGACCCAATATGTTATCTCTCACCACATCAACCAACCTTTGGCAACCCCAAGCAATCGAATCTAAAATATAATTGATCTCTCTGCTTGCAATTTTGTAAGCTACCTCTCTGAACTGAGATAAAAAATTGATAAAGGACAATATCTTTGAGACGTCTTCTTACCATAGGTTTCTGGTGGAATTCCTGAAAATTTCGGCTCAGTAAGATGCAGATTACCTCACCCACACTTGAATGAGGCCGTCCCTGGTCCCACAGCTGTTCAGAATTTGAAGAAAAGGATTCGGGTAATGATCCGGGCTGAGGAGGGAAATAACTCCAAACAAAGCCTTTCCTTCGGATCTGCCCTATTTCTTCCTCAGCTGGAACCGTCTAAAATGTGTCCTGTGCATCCACATGCTCCGGTAGTCCATCAGCCCCAGTTTCACAGAGTCATCTATATTTATAGAGCGAGTGCTACGTAACACCCCCGAAAGATCATGCCACCCATTCAATCCCACCTTTTTTGGGTTGGATTTGGCGCAGGATCTTTATGCATGTCTATGGGAGAGGGTTACATCACTCTCATACATATTAAAATCTGGGTGTAACTTTATTCTTGTCCGGTTTAATCCAGATTTTTGTTTAAACTGTTTGAGTTGTTTTTCTCTTTTGTTTGCCTTATTAGGATTTGTCTTTTGCTTGGAGCTGCTTTAGGTTCGTTATTGTGACAATCTATTTCTTGCATAGCTGATCACTCGTATGACATTTGTGAAAAAACACGTTCTGAGAACATGATTCACTTCCTTGTTAAACATACATCATCATGATACAACAAAATACATTTTAAAATCACAACTGATCATGACATTAACTTGATTATTTTACTTAATTCATTTGTAAATCAACAATTCATATTAACAGTTTCATCAGGAGGGAAGGTTGGTCCATCTGTCACTTTTCCTTTCTCCTTCTTTTTCCGCTTGCGTGTGTGTGCTTGAGTGTGTATGTGCATGTGTGTTTGTGTGTGTGTTTGAATGTGTGTGAGTGTGTATGTGCCTTCAGCATCTGCTTTCCATTAACTTAGCCTGGAAACTTCGATACTTTCCACTGCAGGCCTGAAACAAGAGCATGTCTGAACATGAAACAAGAGCATGTCTGGACATGTCTGGGGGCAGACTGGTTCCACTGTAGTGGGCCTTATTGACAAACAGTATGTCCCACTACGTTCCCTGAGGTCAGCGGACCAGTTGCTCCTCACAGTTCCAAGAACTCATCTTAAGCACAGAGGTGACAGGGCCTTCTCTGTGGCAGAACCAAGACTCTGGAACGAATTACCTCTGCTTGTCAGACAGGCCCCCTCCCTCTCGGTTTTCAAGTCCCTGTGGAGTTTTATCAAACTTGTTGTTCAATAAAATTTAGAAGACTGAGAACTTTTGTTAAAAACACGTAGCAAAGTTTATTTCTCTTCTGCAGAAGGGAGAACACATGAAACGAAAACGCAGCTCAGTGAGTTGTGTGTGTTCTCAAAAAACATGAGCAGTACGGCTTCATTTATACATCTTCCCACGTAACATGTTTTGACACAACAGGCGCTCATTTGCAATCTTATCAGACCGTGTGACCGGTTCTGGAGCTGGGGTTCCGTACCGGCAGTCTGTGAGAAACGAAAGTTAAAAAGCTTCACGCACTGATGTTGAAGAGATGCAACTGCTACAGTTTAGACAAGCTTTAACAGAGTGTGATATAAGGTAAATGAATAACAAGAGTGATGATAATAAAATTGAAAATGAAATAAAATAAAATTGATGAACAAAATAAACTGGTATTAATGTTTTCATTTCTACAATTCCACAATTCCTCCCTTTTGTTCCCATAGGAACAACAATAACACGAATATGTACAGATAGAGATATAGACACTGATTAACAGAACCTTCAAGGCACATGTGTCATATGGAGTATGGTTTAACATATGGCTATCATAAACATCAGTTAGAAATCTGCTAAGGCTGTTTTTGTGAGGGAGAGACCCCTCTAATGAGAGCAAACGTAAAATAAATCATAAAAATAAAATGACAAAATTGTGAAAAGCAAAAACATAATAAAACAAAATATTTACATAATGGTTGTCTTCTTGTTGGTCAGGACAAAAACAGTAGAGTGGGTGGGTGGATTACACTTATTGGAGTCAGGATTGACATTGTTATGTAACAGGGCATAGATTTCTGCCAGGCGTTCAGGAGTGAGGGCAGTCGAGATCAGACGTGTGGACAATGAGCGAATACAAGGTATAAAACAGCAACCACAAGTTATTAGAATGGCTAAACAAACTCCTATGGAGATATTTGATAGCTTTGATGAGCTGGTGCATGACGTAATGCTTGTGAATATCCTTCAGAAGGAGCCTTTCTTTATCACAGCGTGCAGGTCCGTATCCATGTATTCAAAGATGAGGTAAATGTCTTTATCATTTTGTGCTTGGATGATGTTGAGAAGCTTGACATTGTTGACGTGATCTCCAAACTCCTGGAAGAACATGATTTCTCTGTATGTTCGCTGGGCATCTGTTCTGTTTCTGAAAGCATCAAAGATTTTCTTCACTGCCACGATCTCCCCAGTCTGTCTGTCAACGGCTTTCCATACCATGCTGTAGGCCCAGTGCTAGGGTGGTTTTCCATGGATGTTACAGTAGGCCCATTTTTGCAGTGTCTTTTCCTGGGGGGAGAGCCTGTAAAAAGTCTGATGAAGAGTGGAGAGTTCTTTATGGGGCAGTTGGTAGGGCGTAGAGTGGCAGAGAGTTTTTGATGGAGGGTGGATAGTTCCTTATGGATCAATGGATGAGGTGCAGCGAAACAGGGGCTGGTTTGGTAACCGGGGGGGGGGGGGGGGAGCCGCCTCACCTGGGTTTGGGAAGAACCCAGCGAGTGAGCTGTCCTAGCTTACTTAGACTCAAAGTCTAAGATAAGCTGCTGCCTCAGCTGCCCGATGGCACTGAGTGAACTTATGGGGATTTGGCTTCTTCTTGTCCTCCCTCTGATAGTGGATTGGTCCCTCTGAACAGCTTACAGTGGGATGTGTGGATCCAGGTAGCTCGCTAAGCCACCTTGACAGCTGTGTGGGTTGTTAACAGCACCTGGAACGGTCCTGTCCACCTGGGAGAGATCTACCTTTTCCTTCTGAAAGATTTAATCATAACAAAATCTCCTGGCGTTCCATCCATCCATTATCTTTACCCGCTTATTCCATTTTGGGTCACGGGGGTCGCTGGTGCCCATGTCCAGCAATCACTGTGTGAGAGGCGGGCTACAGCCTGGACAGGTCGCAAGTCCATCACAGGGCCACATAGAGACAAACGAGACAAACAAACATTCAGTCTCTCACTCACACCTAGGGACAATTCAGAGTTACCAATCAGCCTAACATGCATGTTTTTGGACGGTGGGAGGAAACCGGATCACCCGGAGAAAACCCACGCATACACGGAGAGAACATGCAAACTCCACCCAGAAAGGCCCCTGGACCGGGGTTTGAACCAAGGACCTGCTCGCTGAGAGGCAGCCACTCTACCAGTTGCGCCACCGTGCTGCCCATCTCTTGGGGTTATGGCATGCAATTGTTCCTGTGCTGGGCCTGGAAGCCCTCCTTGGACCTGGGATCTCAGGGACCTTAAGTTATTTGTTAGTTCAATGCAATAGGTTAGCATGTTATGGTCACAGTGTTTCAGGTCATTAGTCGGGTTAGTTGTGGGTCCTACTCCCAGGTTGGGTGGGGCTGCAAACAAGATTTCAAAAGGGCTAAGGTTAGGTTTAGCCCTTCTGCGCATGCGCATGTACATCAGTGCGATGGGTAAGCATGTAACCCAGTTGAGTTTTGTCTCGTCACAGATTTTTGTCAGTTTGTTTTTTAATGTTCCATTTTCTCTTTCCACTGCACCTCCGTTTTGTGGGTGGTACACACAGTGTTTGGTCATACCATACCATACCACTATATTTATAAAGCACTTAAAACAGCTACAAAGCCAACCAAAGTGCTGTACAGACAAAACAACAGGTAACATACAAAGCAAAATACAAAATGAGTTCAGTGTGGTTGATACTTCTTCAAGTATCTGATTTGCAAAATGTGGTCCATTATCACTGGAGATTCGTTGTGAAATACCCCATCTTGAGACCATCTCCTGTAGAAGAATTTTTGCAACTGTATTTGCTGTGGCATGTTTGGTAGGAAATGCTTCGACCCATTTGGAGAACATGTCCACTATTACCAGACAGTATTTTTTTGTTTTGGACTGGTGTTAGTTCAATGAAATCAATCATCAGATGTTGAAATGGTGCTGTAACAGTTCTGTGAGCACCTGGTGCTGATGTTTTTGTTGTTTTGGAGACATTGTGAGTTGCACACACAAGGCAGGAGTCACAGTGGGAAGCAGCTGTTTTTTTTTTGTGTGTGTGTGACAGAGTGAGGAACGAGGGGGGTCAGATCAGAATAACCCACAATGTCTCTGCTAGCTAGGACTGCTTTGTCAGCAGCTGCCACAGCGCGCAAACAGAGGGGCAGGCCTGCTGCTACAGAGTCCAATTTGGCAGAAAAATAGGCGACCGGTTTCAATCTGTCGCCATGTTTTTGGAGCAATACAGAAGTCATACAGCCACC